GGAGAGATCGAAATCATAAATCTTGGCAACATCATCATCAAACAAAAGCACATTGCTGGATTTGATGTCTCGGTGGACAACATGAGGGTTTGCCTTCTCATGCAAGTACTCAAGTCCCCTAGCCGCACCAACAGCAATTTTAATTCGCTGGTTCCACGACATAACATGACCTGGCTGTGCTCCTCTCACTCCTTTCCGAATTCCGACCTTCACCCAACAAACTCACCACATTTCATTACTTTTTCTTCCTATAATCTAGAAAATGGTTATAGTTTCACATCTACAACCGAATCAATGTTTAAATTAATATCTTACCATGAAGAATATCATGAAGAGATTCATTAGGAGCAAATTCATAAGCAAGAACACGGAGTGGTCCATCAACGCAATTAGCCAGAAGTGCAACAACATTGTCTTGTCTCAATCTCGAAACCATTGATACCTAGTTAACACTATTTATCTCAGTAACAACTCAACAAACCAACAGAGACAGGAGGAACAATGTCTAAAGATGATTTACTTAGTAGCATCCTACCTGGGAGAGAAACTCTTGATCCGGTTGTTTACTGGAATCAAGTTTCTTAATGGCAGCTGCCTTACCGCTTCTAAGAACACCATAAAACACTCTTCCATAAGAGCCCTCACCAATCAAGGATTTCGAACCCTAGTTATCGGTTATATCCTTCAACTCATCAGCTGGAATGGCAGGTACAGAGATAGGCTGCATCTGAATGACTGGCGAGTTCTTGGGTGGGTCTGGCTTATGATGGTGACCTCCACCAGGACCTTAGCAACGGTTGGAAAAAGTTAATCAACTTAGCCACTTAGCCAAAAAGTTGGACACAGTTGGATAATGGGTTACATAAGGTAAAGTGTACCTGCTGCACGTACACTGGCTTTGGACCAGTTTCAACAACTCTACGAAAATCGTTACCGCCACAACAACCAAAGCAGCTCATTACGCTTTTCTAGCTATATAACTCAAAAAAAAAAAAAAAAAACAAAAAAACTGAACAAACAGGTCAGCAATGGTGATGCAGAGCCTTTTTGTTTTAGTCTTTACATACGAAATGTAAGTAAACTAAATGTTTTTTTCACAAAGGAAAATAGACAGTACGAATATAGAAAATTTCAGACAGAACCTTAAACAAAAAGTTTCGAACATAGACAGAACTAACTAAAATCAAACGAAACAAAAACACGATCAAACACGATCAAACACCAGACGAGACATTTAGGTCAATGATCGTAACCCCTAAAACGGATTCCACCATTGAGTTCAATCAAAACATAATTATTAAGCAGAAATAGATTTGTATACCATATCTTTTTTCTGACTCAGTAACTAATCCAGCCGATTACCAATCATTCTACTGAAAAATATGTTTTGCATAAAAGATACGCATACAGCAAGATTAGATTGCACCTGTCCGCAAAAGTAGTCAGGGGTACCCACAGAAAATTAAGCAAATTCAGAGTTACCAACCATCAATACTCAAAATTCTTTATTTCAAAGGCTGCAGAAAAAACACGTATGAATCCATATTATGAAACGATCAATACCTCTTTCTTGCTTCCGGTTTCCCAAGATGGTTGATTGAAGCCTAAGAAGAGATCACTGAAGGATTTACCATATTCAAGCCATTCACGGTGACACTTAGATTAGGCAGGGTAGACTTTCCGGTAGATCTAACAGATTTTTTTTCAATTATGATTCAAGGAAGTGGTTTAAATACGTAGAGAAACAAAGGGAGGTGGAACGAAACCATAAATAAAAAACATGATTGAATGGTGTGGGTCGTGATAATGTTGATTTGCAGAGAATTGAAACAATGGCGATTGACTTTAGACGATGAAGTGGTAGAGGTAAAGACGTTTGCTTGCAAGATCTGACGTGGCAAAATAAAACCCTTTTATTGGTTAATTATTTTTTCTGACGTGGCATAGCTCATTGAGCTTCATATCGACCTTTTAATATAGTTAGATGATCTACTTCGCTATTTGTGTTGATTCTTAGCTTCCAAAAGTTGCTTTCAAAGTTTGCTTCTGGCTATTCAGGTGACTGCACATGTATACGTTAACTGTAGCAGTTGGCCTTTCAGGTTAATGCACATTTATACAGCTTATGGAATTACCAATAGTGACAATTTTTGCTCTATATGAATTGTGTGGATAATATAAATAGTGCGTGTATATAAAGACAAAACAAGAATACAAATTAGGGCTAAAAATTGTTGGCATTTTTATAGTGAGGCACGGCTGTGTGTGTGGAGAACCATTTTGTCAGTTTCTATATGGAGTTTTATGAGGGGGCCATTTCACTTATTTTAACCTTGACTTTGACCATTGATACCCCCACCTATATTAAATACGTGAAATTACAAAACTATATCTAAATTGATCAGTGTTACGTCAATTTTCTCTTCAACTACATTTACGCCTCCATGTCTATAAAATCAAACAATTATAGGAAAGTGCTTGAAATGTTATAAAGGCTTTAAAGTTTAGAAACTTTATATAGTATAGTTAATCCACGTTGATCATTTTTTAAATACGATTCTTTTAATCATCTTTTTCCCAAATGAGGTATCATTTTGAATTACAATCATTGGACGTCGGATGAAAAGAATCTAACGTTTCATACATAGACAAGGGATAGAAAACACAAGTGAAGCAACACCTAAGACCCCTAACAGAATTTTGAAATCATTTAATTAAGTATTCTCATCAGAACTAGATATACTTGCACCATGTATAAACATGTAATTCCTAGTTGTTGCTACACGATCCTAACTCGAGAGTGTTGCTCGAAGTAACAAATGAATATCCTTAACCAGGATACGAGATGGTTTGATCGCACATGAAGGCAAGCGTGAATTCTTCTCTCTCCAAAGGCAACACACAACTGCTTGAAGGGTGAGGTGGCAAATTGTTTTGAATTTAGCATTTGAGGAAGAGACATGTACGGTCCATGCTACATTATCTTCATAAACATATATGATTTGTTTCTGAAAAATAGCCACATAAGAGACACTCAGCTTAAACATTTAGACCCCAACAATTTCTCAGCCTATCAGTAGTGGTAGACCTCGAAAAATAAAGAAAACATATGAAGGCGTGTTTCGGGATTCTTTGGTTAAACCAAAGTGGGATGTGCCACGGAACTGATGATGGTGTAAGAAATATGATTAATGTACTTAAAAATATAATTGCTGTAATGTTTATCTGTGATTAATTGATGTGATATTATTATGTATAATGTATTTTTCAACTCTCAGAATTAATGATATAAGATAAGAAATGATTTCGTACCATTATTTTAAAACAGTGGTCAATGAATAGTATACAAACCAAAATTTATTAATTAGATTCTAGTTTAAAACAAAAAATCTAGTTTTAAAAGGTTACTTCCAATCCAAATGATGTTTTCTTAAAGTTTTATTATACAAAATCACATTCACCAAATTAATGCAACCATGTAGACCCACTGTGTTTGTGTGGTCACACACATCACACCCTTGGCTTAACATATTTTGCATGGTTAGCGATATATCGCATCTCGTTCCAATGTATAGCAGAGATTTTATTTTTGAGAACAGGAAGTTATTTTTGTTTGTATTTTTAAAATTATGATTGTTGAGCGTTTGTCGTTTTATTTGTCTTATATTACGTTGTAGCAGGAAAGTCGTATAGCACAATTTTCTTGGTTCCTTTCTTTCAGTCAGTTGTAGAATTTATTTTCACAATAATATGTTAATTTTCTTCAGAGAAATCAGCATTAAAAATAAGATTTCAAAAAGATAAGTATATTTCGCTGTCCTTTTTTTTTGAAACACAAATTCCATTAAACATAACTTCAGGAACTACAATGAGTAGAGGGAATTAAGCATCCTCTTGGAAACAAATCATAAACTACAAAGAGAAATGACATCAGACAAGATAAGTCTTCATATGAATATGACAGCAGATTCAAGACAAAGATTGAATGCATCCGGAGAGCCTTCACGACAGAGTCGGACAGCTGAGAAATAGTCACAAGTGACGTTGAGGGACAACCCTCACCAGCGAGAAGAACCGAAGTAATCTCGATTGTACCTTCTGGCCCCGTACAGACCGCTACACAAGGTGACAAACCGGTGAGTAAGTTGAAACAAAAGCTCGGAATAAAACCCGAGAGGACATCTCCGTTCATAGAAGGAAGGTATGGTAGTGAAGAACTCTCCTTATCGAAGGAGGATGATAAAAACGATATCATAATAGTTGGATCCACTGAAAAATTCTTCCTAAAGAAGTGATATTGCAATAAACTCAGATTATAGACTCCAATGAACCCATAGGAGATCTTTAAATTATCCAAAGAAATCAGACCCACAACTAATCTAACGTTATGGTTTGATAGTCTAGGATTTCGAAACTTGATAACTGGATTAGAAACTTCAGCAAAAAAGTTGGGCCAAGCCCACATAGCTATAGATCTCGGTCCAGAACCCAAAGCCCACGCTGGGAAGGTAAGAGACGTCATGGATCTAGATGGAAGGATGGAGGTGGCGCGGATGACGTCACTCGCCGGCGGAGAGATGGGCTCACCAGAGTAATCCCGGTTATCATCAAAGCTTAGAGGCGAGGAAAGTGAATAGCTACCAATTAGATTCGGATTTAGGCTTGAGATGTCTTGGGATCTGGCGTCGTAAAAATGAAGAGGAGCACCGCAAGGTTGTTTTGTTGTCTCACTTCCCGGAGGTGGAAAGCGGAAGCTTGAACGTTGAGATCTGAACTCCATCAGCAGTTGAAGAGCACGGAGAAAGTTAACAGTGTGTCTTGTCCATCGACAGCCAGAAGGTGATTCGCCGGAAAACGCTCCCGTGAACCAGAGTACAACGTTGGTGAGAGAACCCTCTCGACTCATCGTTGGGGAGAAGACCCACCAAGGAGGAAGGGCCGTAAGGAGGACTACCGTGAAGGCAAGGGACCGAAGCTCATGTCTCCGGCGGAGACCCCTTTCTCCGCTTAACAAAACGCTACGACTCTGTAGCACACGAGAACTGAAACACGAAAGGAGCAGAGAGATGAATGCAGAGGATGATATCGTCGAGAGTGGCCAGCGCCGGCGAGAACACGCGTCGCCGGCGCCGGAGAGCATTGAATCACAAGGTACCTCGAGCCCCGTGCCTGAGAGCGTTAGGGTTTTCTTGTATATTTCGCTGTCCACTAGTCAAAATTATTTGACAAATGCACCCGAGATGACGTATAATGACGTGCTTTTTTTAATCAAAATTTTCTTCAGACATCCAGTATGTTTAAACTAAAATGGTCCTTTTAATTTAGATAGTAAAACGAATATATAGAAAAATACAAGTTTGAGTGCTAGCGAGATGACGTATAATGACGTGCAAGTCAGCAAGTGAAACCAAAAATCACACTTCACCTTTTATATCCCCACCCTACCTCTATCCCAATATTTTCCTATAAATTTATTTGTTACTTGTTCAATGTATGCTCTCAGACATTGTTGAACCTCCGGAAAAAAGTGTACAACAGAAGACGAAACTTCTCGTCACGCCTTTCCTGCGTTCGTATTATCCAACGAACTCGTAATTTGTATAATAAAAATATTCGGCAAAGTAAACCCTAAACCTTTTTTCCTTTTTAACCATTTCTCATGTCTTCTAATCTGATTCACAGAAACATGGAATGGTCAGGGACAAGCAACGTTGAGAACATGAATGTTGCTTTTATGCCAGTGCCAAGGCTGGAGTCTAACTCCTCCAACTCGCTCCATAGCTTCAACTACGATTCTTATGCAGGTATATGCACAAAAATATTTGATATTTATATCCATTATTCTATACTCTTTGTGATTTGGTTTAATCTCACGCATGAAAGTCCATGAACTTTTTTTTTGTCACAACAAAGAGTTAAATAATTTTACACCAAAAAAAAAAAGAGTGAAATAAATCCATGAACCTTATATCTCCACCTTCATGTGTTTTGAGGTTCTTTATCAGAAAAGTGTTTCAAAGTTCTAACCATTGTTAATCTTCGATTTATATAGATTAAAAATCAGATTAAATCATTTATTATTTAACATTCTCCTTCTATCATAATAATTCAAATAATGGGAACGGATTGATTTCCTATAGTAATATGATAACGCAAATCATTTTTATCATGTCTTTAGCAATTGTTCAAATTTTCTGGTAATGTTGTTTAATTTTGTTAATTCCTAAAATAAAATATAAATTGTGTCATTCGTGGAAAACAATTTGAATCCCATAAAATATTTCAAACATTTTAAATTTATTTAATTGGAGATATGATTGTTAAGTTGGATTTTGTTTGGAATACATATTGGTCCTTCATAAATGTTTAAATATTTGCAACTTAATTAATTCTTATTTGATCTTCAAGCTGTGAATCTTATTTATCTATAAAATCTATTGTAAAAAGTTGCTAGATATCAATCTATAACTATTTATTATTTTCGGTCTTACCATTAATTACTATAACTATACTAAAAACCATAATAAGTTTAATAAACTTTAAAATATCATCAGATTTTACTTAGTTTTATACGGGTGAATCAATGCTATTATATGACGGGTTAATGGTGGATTTTGAAAATTTACCGAGTTTTATTCGGGAATTAAATAGTGAAAGTTTAGTTAAATCTAAACTAGATTATATACGACTCAGTCGCTTTAAGGTTCAACCACATATCTTGATCAGATATAAAAGTACTGCTCAACACAATTACAAATGTGTTAGGTCACAAAGTTTTAATAACACATAATCTTATAATTACCATATCTTTATCTCTTAGAAAGAAAAATTTAAAAAGAAATAAATCTTCATTTAAATGCAGACGAAAATCTAGTTCAATCTTTATTAATGGTGTTACATGCGAAGTTGTGCCTAAGAACACAAAGAAAATAAATAAGATATATTACATTTTGAATTGTTTCTTGAAAATTATAAATATAATCACAGTTGCTTTTTGAAATAAGGTATTGATAGAAAATTTTTGATGATATTTTTATTATTTTATGATTCACTTATTTTATTTCTTTTTGGTCAAAATTAATTTATAAATATAAATTTAACATACATTGCTTATAAACTTTGATGTAAATGAATTTTGTTTTAAAATGGTAAAGCTAAGTGTCAGTAAATTTTTAAATAAATAAAAATAAATAGACAAAGAATAATAATTTTTTTAAACATAATTTCTGCAGGGAAAATAATGACGACGAATTTAATGTGTAGATACAAAACGAAGAAAAAAAATCAAAGATTTTTTTTCTCTTTCAAATGTGGATATATTTACGTTGTGATTATATGTATATAAGGGTATGATTGGTAGTTGCTGTAAATGCTCTGTACATTCCCATTTATTTATACAGCATCAAATTCAAAGCAATGAAGCTTTATTAGTTTTTTAAAAATCACAACTTTTGAAAAAATCTACAGCAGTATAAGTGTTTTGTAGAGCCAAAAATTCACAGTAATTTTTTAAAGTTTTCTATAAATTTTTACAGCAATAAAATCTAGAACCACAACTAAAAATCTACAGATTATTTTCTACAGCAAAAAATTCAAATCTACTGCCTTTACCAATCAGACCCTAAGTTGTGATTATATGAAAGTTGACAAGGATATTGGCAGATCTATACGTTCAAATTAAAAGGCTTATCATCAATGAAACGAATTTTTCACTGGTAGACTTTATAAAATAATATATTTGTCAATTTCCCCTAAATTTTACATAACTATGATGTAGACAGATGTTTCTAATTTACTCCACTAAACCCGGCCCCGATTATAGGTATATGTATACGTAATGGAATATGTTTAAAAGCTTTTCCTAAAATTTTCTTGCTGTGTAAAATATGTGTTCCAATTATATTTTATTTGATGAAACTGATACTTTTATTTAGTATGTGTTCAAATTGACTCTTTGTTTTTCCGAAGGGAACGTTTCTAGATGCGAATCTTGGGAATGATCTCACTTTATCTGATGAGAAATGGGATCGATCATGGGTGTTCTTATGGTTTTCTAGGGAACCACGCTCAGTTTGTATTGTTAAATTATGATTGTCGAGCGTTTGTCGTTTTGGTGTCTTATTATTAAGTTTTTTTCGCTCAAGATTTAATCTTATTATTAAGTTGTAGCAGGAGATTGGTATACTCCTGCCCTAACGCAAGCGACACCCGTTATCTGTGTACCGGAATCAGAAAATACCAGCTGTCCAAGTAACAACGATGAGATGATGAATAGGAAGAAGAAGCAGAAACTAACGAAAGAACAGTTAGGTTCACTTGAACAGAGTTTTCAAGAAGATATCAAACTATGTCCAGACCGGAAGCTGAAGCTGTCCAAGGAGCTTCGTCTGCAGCCACGTCAGATAGCTGTTTGGTTCCAGAACCGCCGTGCACGGTGGAAGGTGAAGGATCTGGAGGAGTCGTACGACTCGCTAAGGCAAGAGTACGACGTGGTTTCAAGAGAGAATCAAATGCTACATGATGAGGTATTTATATGCCCTATTTTTAAAACCATAGGATTATGCCTTAGTTTTTGGTTGTGTGAGAGAGGCCCCACTCATCACAACAAGTTGAATTTTAATGCAGGTGGTGAAGCTGAGAGGTATAATACTAAAAGACCATCTGATGAAGATGCAATCAACTCTGAACAACAATCAAATGGAGGGAGGGAGTCAAAGTTACGGCGCTGATCAATACAGTAATCCCATGTTTGTTGCTTCTACGAGCTTGCCCCCGATAGCGCAACAACGTTATCCATGGTAGGTGTTTCCATCTTACAAAGAGAGACAGAGACTCATATCGACCTTTTGCTTTGGACTTTTAGTTTCAAGTAAGTTTTTTTAGCCAGATTTTTAGTTTTAAGTAATGTTAGACTATGGTACGTAAGCTTTAATTAGCACAATGCACGATCTTTTACATAAATGGAACGTTCTTGTGTCCTAAAACCGAAAGCCAACACTATTTTGGATGTGCAAATGGTGGGGTGTTTTGTAATCCGAAAACAAAACTTATTTTGTAACGAAAAAAATTCTCTACAACAACATTTAATATGAACAGAGGATGGAGTATTATTTAATAAAAATACATCAAAATTTTGTATATGATTAAGAAACTCATTTTCAGTATCTTGGCATTGAGGGTGTTCTTATGTTTATGTATCAATAACATGTCTATTTTCACAGAAAAGAGGAAATATGTGAAGTCTCTCTTAATACTATATATGGTCAACATCAAGCATCATAAGATCCTAAAAGTTGCTCAAAAAAAAAAAAGATCCTCAGAGAAACGAATCAATCACTGAGAAAGAAAGTGAACTTATTGATTCAGAGATTATTTTTCGTCGCACATAAAACAATTGCCATGATTTTCATGTCACGATGAATCAAAGATTGTTTCGCCTTGAGAACATCATCATTATCTTGACAATTAAATGAGTGAATCCCAAAACTATGTTCCTTTTTTCAAGGAAAGAAAAAAACTTATTGTGTTCTTCTGAAACAAGTTCAATTATTGAGTAAATTAAATCCAGAAGAAACCATCGGTCCATGCATCTGTTTTGCGTACAGAGATCAAACTAGTTCAAATCCAGATCAAAACATAATCCTCTCAGACTGATTAAACATTAGACAACAGGCGTGAATAGTCTAGTGGATCCACGTGATGAATAGTTGCCATATTGATCTAGACCAGAGATCTATTAATCACCTCTAGTGCGAAATTGCTATTTCCTCATGTGACTTACTACGTGGCGTGGATTTTTAATTCCCACGTAAAGCAATCGGCTTGTCCGACATCGGTGGATTCATAGGATTAATCGGTTCTGTCTCGACCGGACGCTTGCTTAATAAAAAAAATATTTAGTAACTGTGAGATATGATCCGAAATCAAGAACCGGAAAAAACATGAACAGCGCACATGCATGCTTAGAAGGACGCAAAATCCCTCGGGTGAACGAACACAGAAATAACGAAGCTGCTACAAGTACGTTTTTTCTCATGGACCTATCCTTAGTAGTTTTGGCCCATTAAAAGGCCAGTTTAGCCGAGCCCAAACTTGATATGTAACTCTTCATTAATTAATTAACACGACTAACAAAACACCAAAAAATTCACTTAATTATCCTCACACATGCAAACTTCTCTTTATTCTCTTAATTTACCCCGAACTTTATAATTCTCTGTATCCACCTGCCCCAACAAATCCCAACCAAAAGAACTCTTGTATATTAACAACTTACAATTTATTTTTTGTCAACTTACAACTTACAAATTTATATAAACGGGAAACACTACAAAACCAATTTGGTACAGCAACTTAACTGCTGTGATTCACCAGAGATCTTTACAAGAACACTTGCCATTAACAAAACGATGAAACCCTGAAGAGTCTCTCAAAACTATCTCTCTTTTCACCACAACAGAAACGTATTTGTAGAACTCGTGACAATCACCACAAAGCATCACGTTCTTCACAACCCGAACCGGCTTTCCCCGACTCTTGTTCGTGAGAATGCCATAAGTCACGGCCAGTTTCGCACTGTGGTGAAACAAGAAACTCTTCTTCATAAGCTCATCAACCTCCTGAAGAACAAACTCAGTGTCCGGCTCGTATCCAGCTTTCAGACACTCCATGATCAGTATCTCCAAGCCACTGTATATGTCTTTCTCTTGCGGATGGGATGTGTCACGGGCGTGAAAGGAGTGTATCATGTTCCCATGGATTATCCAGCTTCTAGAAGGATGTTTTCTGTAGCCTCTTTCTCGCATCTCCTCTCTTATCACCTCGGAGCGATGCCAGAGTCCTGAAGCTGAGTAGATGTTGGATTTGAGGATGTATTCAGACGGGTTATCAGGTTTTGTGGATAGTATAAGCTTTTCTACACGTTTTGCAATGCTTGTGTTTGAATGGACTCTGCAGCTATCTAGCAGCGCTCTCAAGACAGAGACCTCTGGCTGAAACGGCATTGAGTTTACTGTCTCTTCCGCTTCTTCGAGAAGACCCCAATGACCCAGAACACGGACATATGCAGCGTAATGTTCAGTTGTTGGTAAAATGCCATGAATAGTCTCCATGGAGAGAAACAGATCACGGCAGGTACTAAGCTTATTTGACTCTGTATACCTATATGATGAAATAACAAGAGCGAGGGTGATGGTATCAGGCTTGATACCTTCTTTATTCATCCTCAACCATATAGCCAGTGCCTCGTCGCCATTTCTTTGAAGAATGTAGCAAGAAATCAAGCTGTTCCATGACACAACATCGTGTTCTCGCATTGTGTTGAATACCTTTATGGCATCATTGAAGTGGAAGCATTTCGAGTACATGCTAATTAAAGAATTCCCCAATCCTATATCAGAAGAGTACCCACCTTTAAGAGCATAACCATGGATCTGATCACCCATTTGCCCAAACCCTAACGTCCCGCAGACGGCAATGATCAAAGTCAATGAAACTTCATCTAAAACAAGTTTCTCTTCCCTAAGAGTTCGATGGAATAGCGATAAAGCCTTTTCAGGTAAGCCATTCCGAGAGTAGCCACCGAGCATTGACGTTGTTGCCTTGGAGCAATCCAGATTAGAAGGCCATAGCTCAAACATCTCCTCAGCGTCTGTCATTCGTTCACACCGTGTGCACATATCAAGCAATGCTGTCTGGATACAAGGGTTTGAAGCACATCCAAACTTTACGCAAAACCCGTGAATCTGTTCGCTTACTTTCTTCTCCGAAACTAAACCACAAGCATCCACAGCGCTTGTTAAACTAAAATCCGTCAACTCAACACCTCTTTGAATCATTTCAGTGAATAATCTCAGTGCCTTCAATCCATAACCGTTTCTACAGAACCCAGCTATTAGAGCGTTATAACTAATATTGTTTTTTTCAGGTATCTTCTCAAACATCTCAACAGCGGAATCCACCATCCCAAACGCCATATAAGCTGTGATCATCTCAGTCAAAGTAAACCCATCTCTTACACTCATCATCTCGTACAAACTCTCAACCTTTTTAATCTCCCCACATTTACCATAAAACCCAATCAAAGCATTACTCACACTCAACTCTTGCCTCAACCCCATTCTAACCGCACGACCATGAAGCTCTCTCCCTCTCATCGAGTCACTAACACTCAAAAGTGTCGAAACCGTAAAGCTATCAGCTTCAACTCCTTCCACTCTATTCATCTCACAAAACAATTCAAAAGCTTCACCAAACAAACCCTCCTTCACCAAACACGAAATCACAGTGTTCCACGAAACAACATCTCTCTGAGGCATTTCGTCGAACACCTTGACGACACCATCACTCGAATACAAACTCATCACAGAGTTGCCAACGAAAACAGAACTCAAAAACCCAGATTTCACAATCAACCCATGAATCTGAACACCCAACGAGAATCTACAACTCCTCACGCAAGCATTCAAAACCGCGACGAAAGTATACTCGTTAGGCTCGATAACACCTTCGCTTCTCATCTTGAAGAAAACCTTAAGAGCTTTGATCTCGAGGTTTAATCTCGCGAAACCCGAGATGAGAGCTGTGTAAGACACAACCGTGGGGGAAGATAGAGAGACGAATACGAGAAAAGCATCGCGTGGGAACCCTAGCTTCAGATACGTCGAGATTAAGGCGTTTCCAAGTTTGGTTTTTTCTTCACTGAGTTTGAGGAAGGAAGCGTGTACGGCTTTTGTTACCTCTACGTCGTCGTATTGGGATGATAATCTGAGGAGGTAGAAAAGCCCATCGATGATGGACTCTGTATCTTCGCTTTTGAAGGAAGTAGGTGAGGGAGAGGGAGAGTGGATGGTTGCTGGGGAAAGAGATAGAGACGCAGAGAGGGGAGATTGACGCGAGAGCGAGAGAGAGGGGAGGGAAGACGGAGGTAGAGGGAGTTTTGGGCGGTTAATTGGCGGTGGGATGTGAGGAAGATTGAGGAGGCAGTGATGAGTAACGGTGGCCATGGATAAAACCTTTACTCGAAGACTGAACTATTCCGATATTGTATTTATGGAGAGTTTTGTTTCTGGTCCCTATACTATTCATAAGTTTACAGGAAGTGTCGTTTACTTGACATTTTTCCAGTGATTAATGGGGGGGCCGGGGGGAAGCATATATATTAGCCATGTTCAAGAAATTAATTGGTGGGTTGATAAGGGATATTCACTATATGGGCGCCAAATTGACTCTTTCAATGTTTACGAATATTTTTCTTTGTATATTTTAGGAATGTTTTTGTGGAATTATGAAATTAATGGAATAAATCAGCCAATATAATATCAACAATCTAGTTACAGTCAAAATTTTGTAAAAAAAATTGTAATATTTAGGTCTAATTTACAATTTATGCGGTTATATAGACATCACCCAACGTTGATCATGTATTGATTGTCACAGCCAAAATTTTGTAAAAAAAATTGTAATATTTAGGTCTAATTTACAATTTATGCGGTTATGTAGACGTCACCCAACGTTGATCATGTATTGTGGGGGAAAACAGAAAACTAACATGATATTTTGTTACATGAGATATAACGATGATATAACAATAATTTAACTGATCAGCTTAGTTTATTCTAGAGTATTTTTTTATAACATCATTTAATTTAGGTTTAGGTAATGAGAGAGATTCCTTGGACAAGGAGACTGGCTGCGAGAACATGATTTGCTGCTTCAGATGGACGAAAACCATCCCAAAACAAGTTGTTAGTAGCGTTCACAGGTATTTCCTCTTTCCCTTCTCTCTACTTTCTCTCTCTAAGTTGTTGTACGATATATACGTTCTTATCGGTAAGATGTCCCCTCGGAAGAAATTGTCACTGAGGAAAAAGGAAAAGTGGTTGACGTTGCATCGGATCCCGCTCGGGATGAGACGACCGGTGAACCCCTAGACGACTTCATCCTAGAGCACCGGGAAGCGTTACGGGATTCGACCAGTCTCGATTTAGCTCAGAGACTTTTAGTTGTTCACTCGGAAAGGTAGTTCCGAGGTGATGATGATGGGAATGCTTCTGCCGTGAATGACCCGCGAGTGAGGCATTCCAGATCTCCGCCGTCTCATCACACCGCTCAGGCCAGACGAACTAGATCCAATCGAGTCGTCCGATCTAACGCTAGTTCGGCAGGGGAAGACCTACCTCTGAAAGTTTTAACACGTTATAGCGGCATGGGGGTTTTCGAACGGGAATCCGCGGTTCCTGAGGAAATGCTTCGTCCTGCCAATACCCAGTCATGGACGAATACAGAGAAAACACAGTCAACTGCCAAATCAGTGGAAGCTTTGCTTACAGGTCGTAACGCCGTGGGTGTTACATACTTGATCCCGACCGCGGATCAGCATCCATGGTCGCCTCCGGTTGGTTACCAGTGCATCTACGAGTCTTACTTCGAGGGCGATACCAAACTGTGGTTTCCGTTGCCTCGCCTCGTGATGTCGTATGTTTCGCGTCGTGAACTCGCTCTAAGTCATATGGTGAATGGGGGGTTTCGCATCATGGTCGCGCTCATGGTGATGGCTGCTGAAATCGGGGTCTCATTGTGCGTTTATGCTTTTGAGCAGCTGACAACCGTATCCCGTTTGCAGCATGGTCTCTTCTCGGTTAGGATAAGGCAAAATTACAACATTATCACTGGTCATCCGGATAAGACCCCGAAGTGGCAACGCTTCTACTTCTACGTTAAATCTAATAAGTTCGCCTTCATCGATCCTCCGGATGACGAGTTTAGGACATATTGGAAGAGTGAAGCCGGTAGCTAGCTAGTCTCAATCAATATTTAATATGTCCTTAGTCTGATCATATCTTTTTCTTGTGCAGAACCGCATCCCAACTATTACTTGACTGAGGCTGATGTTCCGCCTTTGTTTCTCTCAACTGCTCGAGCCTTAGTAGAATTAGGTCATCGCAAGTGGCCTGACATAAGCGAGGAGATGATTCAACGTGCGATAGATCGCATCAACCGAGGTAAGGAAGTGCGCGCTTTGTTCTTCCTTTATCCCTTGCGCGGCCCCTTTTGTTTAAGTTGTTGCACTTGCAGGTGATTGGGATAAGGTATTCCAGTACGAGGCCAAACCCGGAAGGAAAAGGTCAAATTTTTTTACAAGGGCGGATCAGCGAGTTATCAAGCAGGCGTTCGCAATGAAAGAACTTCCAGATCTCTCTAAGGTCATCGAGGAAAAGCGAGGCGGGTCTTCTCAAGGTAGCGCACTGATGGGGATAATCAATAACTTTGATCTTGGAGGGGGAACGTCAGCTGACGACCCAATTCCTTATCCCATGGGGGACGACTTAGCAGATGCCTCGGATCCGTCAACTAGGGGTCTCAAGAAGCTGTGGGTCGAAGAAGCAGAAGATCAGGTCGCTGGGCTTGATGTAGTTGGTGACAATCCTCCCGCAGGTTCTCCAGCTAAGAAAAGGAGGAACAAGAAGAAGTCCAAGTCGACCGAGGATGGTTCCGCGTCTAAAGACGCTCTGAGTGCCCGCGACGACACGGATGCTGGTCGTCTTTCCGAAGAGGAGGTCATGGAAGTTCGGGAGCTCGCTGTAACGAGTCCGATGGATGGGGACCTCCCGCTTGGGCAGGCCACGTCTCTTCCCGATGATCCGAAGAAGAAAGGGAACAAGACGAGCAAGAAGAAGAAGAAGACAACGCAGGGGACGGTCGACCCCAACGTGGAGATCGGTTCTTCGGCTGACAAGACCCACGTTCCTGATCCCAGGATACTTCCGACCTCCGATCAACTGGTCTTCAGCGAAGCTTACCTGAATGTGGCTCGGCTCAAGGAAGCGGTAAGTTATTTATTTTCTCCTTCTTTTTAGCGTTTAAGGTTTTGTCTTGCGGTACTGACGTCAAAAATGCTTGCTCGCAGGCGGATGAAGGTATAAACGCTTTGGTTGAGAAGTACGATGTCGAGCTCAGGGCAACGTACGTCAATCTCGGAGATGCTCAAGACAAGATCGACACTGAGAGGAAAAGTATAGTTGCTCTTGAGGCCTCGCTCGCGAACTAGGAAGCTGTAAGAGCTGAAGCTACTCTCCGAGCCGACGCCAAGGCGAATGAACTCAAAGAGATTTCGAAGGAGCTAGAAGTCGTTAAAGCCACGTCCGCCGAACTCGAGAAAGAGAAGGCTAGAATCGAGTTGAAGATGGTCAAGATTATGAAGGATGCGGATTATGAAGCTTCCCATCTGAGGAGAAGTTGAGTTCTCGAAGTCACCCGCAAACGAGCAAGGACTCAGGTGGAGATGGCCAAGAAGGCGAACGCTCATCTTGAGCGGATCAAAGCTCGTGACGTAAAGCTAGATGCGTACGATGACGCAAGAGGTCTCTTGAGTCAAGATTTCGGGACTCGGAAATGCCTGGAATTGCTCAAAAGGAATGAGGAGGCTATTCCCCAGGCGAAAATAGACGAGTTCCTGGAAGAGGAAAGGACCCGTAAGGTAGAGGCTGAAAGGTTGTACCCCGGATCACCCGATAAAGATGTCTATTGTCTCTCCCCGCTGGTGCATGCCTCTAAGTACTTCGATGAGACTATCCTCAACTACATGATGTCCGGTTATGATAGGAACTCGGTCGGTGGGTTTGATCCGATCGGATCGAACGTGAATGAGACGGTTCCTGAAGTCGCCGCTCAGCTTCGCGCTCCTGTTCACTCGGGTTGCGTCTGGCAAGTTTCCGACTCTTCTGATGAGGTCGACGTGTCGGGTCTTGACGGTTCTGGGGACGGTGGAGGTAAGTCTCTCGAGAGTGACAAGGAAAGGGCCAACCCGACTAAGTTGGATGAAGATCAGGGCACGAGTCGGCAGGTCGCGAATCGTTCATCTTCGTCGACAAATGCTTCTCGGGCTCAGGAGACTGATGCTCGCGACGACGGTGATGACGCCGCGACAGCTCAGAAGTTGTTGTCCTGATGTAATAGATTTTTTTATTTTGGTTTACTCCGTGTGTGGAGATGTTCTCGGCTTTGATTATGTAACCTTTTGGAAACCTTAGACTTGTTTTGTTATTCACCTCGGGGGTTTTATTTTTAATGAAGTCTTTATTTGAGTGGAATTTGCCTTAGGTGTATTTTTATCGAATTCAGAGTTTTTAGTTGGACAAGTGCTCGTCTCGTCCATTTTTTATTCAAAGGATTCATCAGAGTTCATCGATCTCCAAAGTGAACCTTGTTCTAAATTCAAACTCTTATTCAACCATTGCTCGGGATAGTAGAGTAATTATCCGAGTCTAGCTTGTTTACACTGCTTAATCACTGCTCGTCGGTTAGGCGTGACCTCGACTATTCTGCAATGTCCGAGGCTATTTCTTTAGTTAAGCCGACAAGGGTTTCAAATTGTCGCGAGGTAACTCCGCAGAGTTTAGGTCGGTCGATCCCTACTTTAGGAATTATCGTGAAACCGAACTTGGTCGTCTCTTCGTCAGTTAGTCGGAGCCAGCTGTGACTGGCGGGACTTGTTGAATATGCCTGATTAGGGCGTATTAGACGAATTCGTGCGAGTGCCAGTGCACGATCCGCGGTTCCTACTTGTATCGGGAAGCTGGGGTGCAGGCATCGTGATGGTGTTGTTTTTAGGGTTATAGCTGGACCGATTAAGGTTGCCTACGTACCTCGTAAGAGGATCAAACCATTCGTAGGGAAGTGTCTAATTAATATAATTTTATATTATATTTTTATTAATATTATTAAATATTACTACATAATATTTATTATATATTATTATTATTATTATTAAAAAATAATTTTATAAGACCACAACTATAATAATTCAGTATCTATTATATTAAAAGAGAAATCATGACTCACTTCATGTGTGATATTTTAGTTTGGACCATCTCTAGAATTTTATAAAATGTTACATAATATAATAATATCTTTTCATATCTTTTTGTGTGAAATACAAATAAATAGTTTTAAGAAAATTTTAACAAAATCTTTTAAAATCTTTTAGAATCTTTTTCAAGATATA